CCCTTCCAATCTCTAACATTCTGTGACTCCATACCTATTTAATAGCAGCTGATCTGCCATGGTTTGCTCCTAAATTACACAAATTTAGTTTAGTCAGTTTATGAATGGTACCCAGCTTCACAGGCATGGCATCTGCGTTTGTAATATAGCTGTACATTGGTGTAAAGAATTGACATAAGTCTGTATTTTCATCAACAAATCTGTATGGAGAATGCTCATACCGAAGTAGTCTAGCTGTAGGATCATTTAAGACAGTTTTTGGCTTGACTGATAGACTATGTGACAAGACTTTTTGGGACATCTGCGACAATGTAAGAGTGATTATTTGTTATAGCAGGTTTTATTGTATACAGCTGGAAACAATATGTGCTACTTATTTGTTGTATTTAAAACCTGTTTGTTAAATCATTCTGTATGTGAGATAATCTGGGGAGTACAGTGTTCAGATAGATTGAATTAGTGATACATTACAGGCCAACATTCAGATTTTGCTTTTTTTCTTACTGTTGAATAGACTGAAGAACTAGCAGAAAGTTATAGACTTCTAGACAACTGAATCATAATTTCTTTTGCCTCGTAGGGAAAACTGCTCTGGACAACAGTGCTGTCCTCTGAATCTTTCTAAAGAATCTTTTAAAATTGTTAACTTATGGTTTGCATACTGTTTTTTTAAAATCTGTTAGGATTTAAGTAATTTCTTTTTGATTTCCTATGACAAAAATATTTAAGGCTTCTGGAAGAAAAATGCAGTGAGATTTTTTCCAGAGTGACTACTCTTGATTTGGGTAAAATTTTATAGGAAAAATCAAAAAATATTCCACAGTCACTCTAGCTTTAGCTGGAAAAAGTGTTAGTTGAATCTTAATAGGTAGTAAACATCATCTCACATATACGGTGATGATGTTAATAGAGAGGACAAATAATTTAAATGGTGTGATTTAAGTTAGCAGAACTTGCGTTGTTTCATGTTTTCCTTTCCAAACTTTCCCTAACTTACACCATTTCTAAATACTTGGATTTTTAAAAAGGTGCTGGTCAATTTACATTAACGAAACTGGAAGAGTAGGTTGTTCTCTGGTTAACAATGACACTAATGTGAAAATCCACTTTTCTTCTTCTTATAACAATCTTGATTTTAAAAACTATTTGTAGGCATGTATGACATGGCTAAGCATACTTCATAGACAATATGTAAATAGTAAAGCATACTACTACTAATGGTGACTATAATGATGGCTAGCAGCTGCCGTATGTGTGCCACCTTACAGAAATGTGAAAGTGAATTTTTGCATGTCTTTTCTATTAGCCAAAGATATAAACTGTCCTAGAAATATAATACAGTGTTCTGTAATGCAGAAGAACAAAATACTCAGTCATTTCCCGGTCCAGTTTTTTTGGTCATCTTGTAGCTGCATGAGATACATAGTGGTTAGGTTAATTGCAAATATGGTTAGCTTAAAGTTCACGTGGTCTGTCATATGAACATGTGTCTTTGTGTGGCAGAGGTGTTACCCATCCAGGCTTCAATCTCAAATCAAAATGGCTGTGTTGGTATTGATAAATGGAGAGTATAGAGAGTGCCCCTTGTTGCTGTACAAGCGAGGAGGAGGAGTTAAGCCTTTAAAATAGAAACGGGGTCTCAGAGAGCAGAGGGGAAAAGGAAGCTGGTGCAGGGAGTCATTACTGCATGGGTAAAGAAAGTTGTGGACGTAGCTCTTAAATGAGGTACACAGGAAGAGCGAGTATGATCTTGTATCTTGTCTTTAGAGAGCAGTTTAAATGAAAACTACCAGCTTGATATATACCAGTATATTCCCTTTATTTATGAGGATCAGCCTGTGGGTTCAGTTGGTTTAATAATAAAAATGCTGAAATTACCAAACATAAGGAAATTACTCAGCATATTTTGTGTATAAAAGTAGCCCTAGCTGGTCAGTGTTCTTTCCTTCTCTTCTGCTGACTCTGGCAAAAAAAAATAAACCTCTTTCCAAGGATCTGTTGCTCTACTTTTTGATCAAATATTTTGACAAGCAGTATGTGCTTTTCTTTTAGAAGTGTCTAGAATTTTCTTTGGACAGGATTGCCAAGTTTAAATACTGATTATTATTATTATTATTTTAAATTTAAGGAACCTCCCTGCAAAACCAGCAGAAGAAGCTCAGAAACACAGACAACAGTACGAAGAAATGGTGGTTCAAGCAAAAAAAAGAGGTGATGGAATTTCTTGTCTTCAGAGGAGAGAATAAAGTTAAGGGGTATTTCTAAACCTGAAATGCACTTGTATCAGTCTGTTGCGCTTAACGTGAGGGATCTGTACCTCCCCTCAAAGAAGAATCAATCCAGAGAAGAGAGAGGGATGACAGTAGTTTAATTAAAAAGCCCCATGCCAAGCTGAAAAAAAAAAACAATCCTAGAATCCAGCAGGAAAGAATTTTTTTAATTTGTAACTCTTAAATAATTGAGTGGCATCTGTTTTGGGTTTAAAAATTTACTAATATATTGAAGGAGATTATCAGTCAAATCAATGAAGATTGGATTTATTTAGAGAACTACAGGGTATTTGATAGTGTCATGTTGGGAACAACCTGTTGAGGCTGTAGTACATAAATACATAATTTTACACGTAGGGAAATGTGTGTAGTTATGTTCATTTGATAACCTATCTCCCACCTAAAATTTACAACTTTCCCAAAGTTTTGTTCATAATTTCTTGTCTGACATTGTTCACAGAAGTGTTTCAGCAACACTGTACCATGCACATCAGGTAGAGTTGGCAGTTGTGGTTTCCTTCTGCTCATATTTCTGACCTTGTGGGTTTTCTAATAAAAACAATCATTGCAATAATAGGAAAATTGGACTCATAAAAGTTTTGTATCCAGTGAGAGGTACTGGAAATATTTTTTTTTCCAGCTGCCTGGACCCCTGAGCCATATGAAACAGTGGAAAGATTATATGAACACAGGACTTGCTTTCTGCAGTTGACATATTAATAAAAGTGTCCTCTTGTGGTTTTGAACATCACACACCTGCCAGTGAGGTTCTAACTTCATGTGACTCCCATGTTTGTATATCCACTTAACGTGTAGTAGTCCAAAATAATTTCTCTGGTCTTTGCGCATAGGGTAGATGTTTTGGGAGAAGTGGGATGATGCTCAGGTTAGGCAATGCGCCCTTGTGCTGTCTTCACTGGACTGGAGTATGTCATTCTGTCCAGATAAATACCCTGACAAACCCGTTTTCCCTAGAGCCGCTCCAGATGAACAGCTTTGCAGAGTGGCATATTGTGTAGAGGTCAGGAAATCAAAGAGTGTAAACACCCTCTTCTTGTTTAGAGAAAAGTTCAAAGCCTGCATTTAGGCGGGCTTACAAAGAGCTCGTATCAAAGCTGAAAGTATTATGAGGCAGTTGGTATGGTTCTGCTCGGGTGCAGCTTCTGTGGGGCTTTAGAGTGGACTCATCAGATTGTATTTGTTCGTTACAAAGACATTGTTCATGGTACTGCTCTTCTTTGGTTAGTTTTCCTTGCCAGGTCAGTACCTTCCCATATTGTGGACAGTGTGTATGTGCATGCCTAAGTCCTGTATTTCCAGTGTGCTGCTATAAAGAGTGTTGGCCTGCATTTGTTAAATCGCATGTCTAACAAATTTGCCAGTGAAAAAACAATTGATGATGCAAGAAGAAATACTGAGTGATAATGGAAAAATGTAAAATATGTTTAAACTGAACATGAAAAATGTTTTCTTTTTAATGAACTGGTGAGGCTGCACCTTGAATACAGTGTTCAGTTTTGGGTCCCTCACCACAAGAAGGACATTGAGGTGCTGGAGCAGGTCCAGAGAAGGGCGATGAAGCCGCTGAAGGGTCTGGAGCACAGGTCTTACAAGGAGTGGCTGAGGGAGCTGGGGGTGTTCAGTCTAGAGAAGAGGAGGCTGAGAGGAGACCTTATCACTCTCTACAACTACCTGAAAGGAGGGTGTAGTGAGGTGGGTGCTGGCCTCTTCTCTAAAGTAACAAGTGACAGGACAAGAGGAAATGGCCTCAAGTTGCACCAGGGGAGGTTTAGGCTGGATATTAGAAAAAATTTCTTCACTGAAAGAGTGGTCAGACATTGGAACAGGCTGCCCAGGGAAGTGGTGGAGTCACCATCCCTGGAGGTGTTCAAGAAATGTGTAGATGTGGTGCTTAGGGACATGGTTTAGTGAGTTAGGTGGTGTTGGGTTTATGGTTGGACTTGATGATCCTTGAGGTCTTTTCCAACCTTAATGATTCTATGAACTGGAGGTTTCCAGTATATGTATATTTGTGATGTATGGCATTTAGATTAACAATATGCTAAGTAGCATCAGAAATGTGGCTTTTGTGATTTCCTGACAATATATCTAAATCATAATGTATAAAGGCAACACGTAAGAGTGAAACCAAAATACAAAATTTGTATTATTTTAGTCTGTATTTTTTGAGTCTGATATTAAAAAGGGGCAGGGCTTCATTAGGAAATACTCTGACCTGGCCTCTTAGGTGGGGCTGTGCTGTCAGAGATGCTAATTCAAGTTGCTAATGTGGACAGATTTGAAGGGTCAAAGGAGCCATATGTTATCCCTTTGTCCCATCCATCAAAAATGAGCCTTATGCATTGTTCCACTTTGTTCTTTCTTCACATTTGGCATTGCTGCTTAGCTTGCTATATGTCTGGGAAAGTTTTAGAATTTGAACAGTGCGCTGTACATTTAGGCAAATATAGTGTGCTTTTACATGGCTGTATAGGCATGACTAGCTAACTCTGAATATTTGGTTTCTGGTTTTATTAAGTAAAAAAGGAAATTGCTTTTCTGCAGAGCTTAAGGAAGCCCAGAAGAGAAAGAAACAACTGGAAGAACGCTGTAAACTGGAAGACAGCATCGGCAACGCTGTTCTAACTTGGAACAATGAAATCTTGCCCAACTGGGAAACTATGTAAGACAGTATGTTATACTGAGTTTTAATTAAAATTACTGAGTCTGTATCCTGAAGAGAAGTTACAAAGTTAGCAAGTATAATTTTAAATGGTCTTGGAAGCTTTTCTTTGAAAGTCACTTTTGGACAGCTACAAAGAAAATGAACAGCATGTTTCCTTATTTCTACGAGGTGTCTGGAAGTGATGCAGTTCTAATTCTTATTATTTGTCTTTAATGGAGGTTCAGGATATTTAGATACTGTGAAACTTTGAGGAACGATCTGTGGTACAGAACATAAAAGCACCACGCATAATCCTTGAGCACCATGCATTTATTGGAAATGATCTTTCCTTGACTACTTGAGCTGTTGATGTTGTACTTCAATCTACATCTGATATGAAGTGTATGGTATTATGAAGCCTCTTTAATTACAGAGTGGTGTACCTGCTGAGATAATCAAGTGATGGAAAAGAGAAGTGGGGAAAAAGTTCTTTTAGCACTTAATTTTTTTTTTTTTTTTAATATTTCGTACAAAGACACAGCACAGGCAGTTGGTAAGCTACCTTCACTGTCTGGTTTTTCATGGACTTGACTAGCCATCTTAAAAAAAACGGGGCCCTCCCAGTGTAACCACTACCACAACAACATAAACCAACCTGCACAGAACTCGCAATTGCAATTTGCTTAATCATGGAATTCAGTTGTCCTGAGAGTATACGTTAAAAATATGGACAGTGTTTGTTGGAAATTGCATTTCTGGAGAACTGAAGTAATAAGTATAAGGAAATCGTAGATTTCCATGTCTGACTTTAGTATTTGAAGATGCATCTGTTATGGCTGCTGTAAAAATAAGGACACCTTTTCTTGTGTTGGTTTATAAATCCAGAAGTTCCCTAATGTATTCACTATTTTACATTTTAGATCAGAATCTTTTAGACAAAGGGATTGTTGTGTTTTTTGTCACTTCCACAAACTTTCATTGGTGCTTAGGTGCTATTGAGTTTCTCCTTCTGGGCTTTCAGATTGATGAACATCAGCTGCAGCCATTTCAAAGCCTGTGTTCTGTTAAAATGTCTTTCATGCTCCTACCTAAAAGTTATTAATTGTTGCGACTTAATGCATTTTTCTGGAGGGCTAGAGCTGCAAAGCTGGGTAGGAAACTGCATGTGTCACTTGCGCAGCAGGGTGATGACAGAGGGGAGGGGGGTAGACTTCCATAACTTGTTTTTGTATTTAATCTTAATGGAGATGTACATGGTACCCCTGTCCATGGCAGGGGGGGTGGAACTAGATGATCTTTAAGGTCCTTTCCAACCCAAAGCAATCTAGGCTTCTGTGATTGTGTCCAGTCTTTAGCATGGACAGTGGCATATGTATGGATTTCCTTTTCATTTGTTTATTTCTGTCCCTTTTTTGGTCAAGTGTTGTTGCAATTATGGATATTGTAATTGCAGTGCTTCTGTCAAAGTAAACCATTAACTTGAAAGGGAGTAAGCTTTCCTTTACGGTTCAAAGCAAAGTAGTACTAAAGAATGGGTATGTGCAAATTGTGTTTGACTTCTTGGCCTGTTGATGTTCATTTTGGTTTGGATCCCTTCAGCAGTATACATCTGCAATTCAGCTGGAAATCAAGTATTTCTTAGGATAATCTGTTTTACTTTAAACAGGTGTTGTTCCCGTAAAGTTCGAGAGCTATGGTGGCAAGGCATTCCACCCAGTGTGAGAGGCAAAGTCTGGAGCTTGGCAATTGGCAACGAGTTAAACATCACCCATGGTGAGACTGTCGTTTTGTCTTACAAAGAGAAATAGTAAGGGGATAGTCTTGTATTTATTATGGTGTATCAGAACCTGAGGTGTGGGTGTGAGATGTAACTAGATGTTATCTAGTTACGCTTTTTTTGGTGGGGCTTTGACATGTTTTGTTCAAAAATATAGTGTCTTTTAATCTCGTAACTGCTCTAGGACTGCTGTTGTGAGTTGTTTCTGATTATTGCTGTCACTGTGTCTTCTTTGATGTTAGATGGAGATGGTCAGAATTAATGACTGGAGCCTTTTTTTTTCTTTTTGAAACTTGGAGTTGTTCTTAATTTTGTAATGCTTATAAGTGTGCATATAGTGTGCTTCCTTTGATTTAGAGCAAGACGTTAGGTTTGTGAGAGAGTAAAATACCCCTGGGAAAAATATGTGCTTTTGTTTATGTGTGTGTTTGTGAAAATAGAAATAGTGTGCTGCTTCAGAATACAGAAAAACACGGAAATGTGGTAGATAGCCTGTACTGCTGTCTTGTGCTCCTTTTCTGTGCTTGGCGTAGTTACCTTGGGTGTGGTTCTTACATGGAATTTTCTAGATTTATCCCAATTATCCATTCAGATTATAATTTTGAACACCAGTGCTCTGCAAGAAAAGTAAATGCTTGAACATAAAATGCAACTTGTGCCTAGATTGCCTTTCCTTTTCACTTAAATTATAGGTCAGTGGAACAAGCCTTTCAGAACCATAACCTACTTAGAAATTCAACTGCTATGTTAGAGATACTGTTATTGGTAATGATAGGGCAGCATTGGTGGTATTGTAGGCAGGTAGTACCTGACATTGGACATGAGCATATACAAATGGTGGACTTGGTTTTCTCTGTTTTTCTTTTTGCAGAACTTTATGATATTTGCCTGGCTCGTGCCAAAGAGAAATGGCGATCACTTAGAACAGGAGGGGCTGAAGTAGACTATGAAGGTAGGTTTTTTTGTGAAGGATTTATGCTGTGTGACAAAGTAAAAGAGATTTTGTAAAATTATTCCTTAAAATCACAGATTTTAAACAAAAAATAAAATCAACTATTAAGATGCCTCTGATAAAAAGAAGGCTTCTTTTTGTGGAAGCAAGAAGCAGCTGTATTCTTTCTTCTCAGTGAAACTATAGTCTCTTACAGAATACTCTTGTTCATTTTTCTTTACAAACTGTCTCTAGGTACAGTTCTTATTTGATGCTAATTTGTAGGAAAGGTAGGAAAGTTTGAGGATTATAATTTTAATTGCAACACTAAAATACTTTTCTGCATCTGTAGTTTCACAATTGAAACTCAAATTATAGCAAAAAATTGCATTTTAGTCCCTTATTGCAGCTTTGAGTCCATCTCTTGGGTGTGTTTCAGAGAGCAGCAATTTATTTTTGCAGATGAAGTGATTTGAGTTTTACTAGTTGATTGAAAGAGTTGTCATTTTGAGAGAATATAAAACTACAGCAGATGCTTAAAATTGCTTTTGGTAAGTAATTATGCTGAGCAGAAAAAGGAGGACATACATTCTGGCATTTGTCAACGGAAAAATATTTTTGATTGGAAATCCCCTACTTTCTTCCCTTTAAGATTGTCTGCATCTTAAATAAGATGACATCTAGTACATTTCCAGCTTCCTCTTGCACTTTATTTTCTGGAGTTTATATGCTCATGTGGTTAGTGTAAGCGTTGGCTAATGACTCTTGTTTTCTGATTGCTCAATAAGTAGCAGTAGGTAATTCCCAGCTATACTTATCCGAACAGACAAAATACAAATAAAACTTCTTGATATCAGAAAGAAAACTAATACTTCAGAAATTTACTTTGTATGAGATCTGTTTTAGTTATGGAGTGTATTGCAGTGTCCATGATCTTTAACAACACATATGAAATGTAAATCAACATGATTTTGGAAGGAGAGCTGACAGTAGTAGAGATAGGTGGCATCCATCAAATGCTTTTGCTTTAGGACTTCTCCCTCCCCCCACAACCTTTCCACAGAGGCAGGTATTTCAGGAGCCACTGGGAAGCCTTGTTCAGGGTGAGGGATCACAGGTTAACAGGCTCTGACTGTCTAATGTCTTGTCAGTGGATACTAGTAAAGTGCCTGCCCTGCCTTGACCTGCGTCTTTCCCCAAATCACTTTGAAACATGTTGAGGGACAGTGTGCACTGTAGGGTTGCTTTGAGTCAGGACATAGTTGCTTCTTAGCCTTTGTGCTGACTTCTGGAAATTGCCCTGTCTATACCCTTATTCCCTAGCATTCACATAGAAATAAATGAACTGTGCAAAAGCTAACCCTTATTGGTCTAGTGGGGAAGAATGTACATTGATCCATGCAATAAATGCAGTAACTTTGGCTTTTGTAGATGCTGGATTTTCTGCAGCTGACAGAGAAGCAAGCTTGGAATTAATAAAACTGGATATCTCAAGAACGTTTCCTAATCTCTGTATATTCCAGCAAGTAAGCAATGTTAACTTCTGTTTTGACTACTCAGAGAAATTAAGTTTACGTAATTGTGTTTGTCCCTTGGTTGTAACGGTCCATTGACTTCAAATCTGAAGGAGCAGACATGTTGAGAGTTCCTGAAGATTTTGGAAAACTGTAAGTAATCTAGAAAAGAGTAATCTCAAGGCACTATGCATTTGGAAGAGGGGAAAAAAAACAATCTGTTGGCTAATCATCATGATTCATCTAGCCCAGTTCATGCTGGTTTCTGTTGGATTAAGTGATGCGGGTGAGTATTTCCAAGTCAGTGAATCAACACTGCTGGGTTGCAAATACACGGTGAGAGAGCAGAGCTCAAGCGAGCAATATTTGGTAGCCTTTTTTTGGTTCCATGCAAGACCAATTTAAAAATGTATGGTTTTGGTGTGCTTTAATGCATCCTTTTAACCAGATATTTTGTTGTTCCATACACAAATTTCAGCAGCCCTGTTAAAAGTTTAGATAGTGATAAATGAGCATTTTTGGGTGAAAAACTTTGCCCTTTGGAAATTCTCAGCCTATTACAGGGCTTAGTGTAAGATATCGCAACTGTAATAGTCAACCATATGAAATTCTTTTTAGCTATGCATGTCATTCTTGATATGCTCTGTGTGTGTATTATGGCATATTGTTGGTTTTTTAACTATTTTCTTTGTGGTTGAATTCTGCCTCTAGTCCAATAAACAATTAAGTAGTTCTCATTAGTGTTCTGCTTTCTTGGCACTATTGTCAAAGTGCTGCTAAGCTATAAGGAATCTCTTCCACTTACATTCCTCTTGCATAAGGATTTAATATGTACTTGATGTATTGGATGAAGTTGTAATGAATGTAGTATGGAGGGCTGTTTCATACTTCTAAAGCCAAAATTATTTTGAAAGACTTGTGGCTGTTCAAAGCTGCATAGGGAAATAATGTGTCCTTTATCAGAAGCAATACATACTTTCTTGTAGCACCAAAGGGTTTTTGACATTTGTTATATACTCAGATGTATTGTGTTGTTTTTGTTTAATTATAGGGTGGTCCTTACCATGACACCTTGCACAGTATTTTAGGAGCCTATACTTGTTACAGACCTGATGTAGGCTATGTAAGTGAAGAAAATTTTTTTTGGGGGGGTCGGGAGGGAGATCAAGGGGGAGGGAGGATTGTGTTAATCAGTCCTTTGTAGACCAGTATTGAATGATTTTGTGAAGTACTTGTGGGGTTCCTGTGTGCTTTCTTGTGTTCCACTACATGCTAGAGAAGTGTATATAATGATTCTGTTGCTAGATTTAAGCTTTTAAACAGGTTAAGTAATTGGAAAACTCAAAAGTACATATTTGTAGTGCTTGAAAATTGGAGTCAAAAGAGAAGATGTAGTTAAATTGGTCCTTTGAAATGTGTGCTGTTCTTAATGGCAGTCTTACTGAGACTATTCTGTTGAGTTGAGTATCTTACTCCTCTTGATACACATTTCTTTGCCTTAGTACTGTGAACTTCTGGAGCAGTCTTTAAAGCAATGCCCATCAAGGCTACGTGAGCTCCCTCAAAGTATTTGAAGTGGTGATTATGAGGGGACTGAGTGGATTTCAGATACTTTGTTTAGTCTTTTTTTTCAGAGGAGGGATATATATAGGAGCTTATTCTTTGTTCGGGAGCAGTTGTTTTAGAGAAGGCAAATGTAGAAAGATAACTTTCCTCTTCTGTGAGTAGCATGCGATGCTTGGCAAAACTGCTGAACACGACTGCTGGGTAACTAGAAAAAGCGCAGATCAGGTGGCATGCATCATTTGGCATGGATCCTGTTGTTGTGTTGGGAAGGAGCTTGTTCCTCAGGTTTGCAGGAAGGACTGTCACACCTTGGTCCACGTGACTCTGCAGAGGCAGCACTACACCCTCTCTGTGAGCAAGCTTTGCCTAGATTCAGCATTGATTCCGTACCGTACTTTGTAGAAAAATGCGACATCATGAGCTTATGATGAAACATGGGTTTAATCTTAAAATGGTAGTGCTTGTCAGGTGAGTCACTGCAGTTTGCAGTTGTCTGTAGCTGGCAGTAATTGGTTGAAAAAGGAAAGAGCAGGCTTTGTCTCCAGTGTCCTAGTCCAGCTTTCCACAAATAAGGGTATCTATGACCCATCCTTAAGAGAAGAAGAATTACATAGAAACAGCTTGTTCCTCAAAAAAGTCATCTGCCTGTTTGAAAGTGCTGTCATCCTAGCCTGTCTTAGGAGTGAGCCTTTGAAAGGAGGCAACATGGGGATCATTAGCTTCCATACTCTGAACATTCAATACCAAAGGGTTGTGTGGGTTACAAAATCCTGCCCTTCCAAACATTCCACAAAATTCAGCAGTTTGGCGAGTGTGTTAAACACTAGTGATTGCAAGGACAAAATGAGGCAGTATTCTTGGAAGGATACAGGTATTGCTGAATGGTAACACTTCTCCTTTCTTCAGGTACAGGGCATGTCATTCATAGCAGCAGTATTGATCTTGAACTTGGATACTGCAGATGCCTTCATTGCTTTTTCTAACCTATTAAATAAACCCTGTCAGATGGCGTTTTTCCGTGTGGACCATGGCCTTGTAAGTATGGAAGAAAACTGTAATCTACATGTTGTATGAAAGTCTTAAAAAAACTTCAAAACAAATTGATGGGCTCAGTAGTCTGGAAAGTAAGTCAGAGCTTATTTTAAAGCAACATGCTTGATAAACAAAAAAAACCCCAATGTACACACTCCCTCACACACTCCCTCAAAAAAAAAAAACAAAGGAAACCCCACCCCACTAACCTTTTCAACAGGCAGGTGAATGAAATTGTTCAGCTGCTGTTTTATGAGGCTAAGAGAATAGTTATGAGAACATTAGTGTAGGTGTTTTTCAAATTGAGCACTGTAGTTGAAAGCTGAAAACACCTTAAAATTAGATGTGTCTTGAAGGTGCTTTTTATCCCAAACTAATAGATTGCTCTAAATGGATTGTTGCAGGGAGAACCAGGTTTCCCATCTCTTATTGTAGCAGCTATATTTGAAAAGGAGTCTGGAGGAATCAGATGAGCAGACCCCTCCAGTCTTCCATGGGAGCTGGTTACCTGGTTCTCTCTGGAGTCTCTCTTTGTGAGCATGTACACTGGGTGTGTACGCTATGTGTACCATAGCAAAATAAGACACATCCCCTGAAATGTGTTTTTAATTTACTTTAAAAGTATTTTTATTTGTAAAATATTGGCATTCTGTATTTCTTTCTCACCTTTTAATACTATGAAAATAGGATCTGCTTGTCAAGAGTTCAAATGGGAGAAATAAAGCAAGGGAATGGATGACATCAACAACAATCAGTTTTGTTGCTTCAACAGTAAGACACTAGGGATCCTATCAGTATTTCCTGCTGGAAGAGCAATATGTAATTCCTTCTTGCAGCCCTTGAATCTCAATAGTTGTAAATGCTCATGGGGAGATGTCCCACAGCGTGGACAGCATTGCCAGAAGCAGTATCAGTCGTCTCCATTACTCTACTTGGAAAAAGAGGGCATGCTCATGCATTTAGTATATAAATGTGGTTCTTGTGAAGATGATTTTGGAATTACATTTGCTAGAATAAGGTTTTTTGGTTTTTGTTTTTGTTTTGTTTTTTTTCCCCTAGCTGAAATAGTGGGTTTTGGTATGCTCTTGGATAGTGCCATTTCATTCTGTTAGCCTGGCTAAATAGAGGCTACGTGATAAATGAATGCTTACAGAAGAGTAATTAAAATATTGTGAAATTACGAAGCTATGATTCACACCGCAAGGAAAACTTAGTTTTCAGAGTAGTGAGACATAAAGTGAGACAGTTTTGGCTTCCTGTGGTCAATATACTGATCTGCTGTCTACCCTCATCATTTGTGTCAGTTTTACAGCTTGATAATTGAATGCTGATTTTTCTTAACGTATAATAAATTAAAAAAATAAAACCAGCATAAATTAGTTGTGGAAATTATAGTCTTTTATAGTGATTTATCTTGATTTCTTTTGTTGGCTACATTTTCATTAAACTAGATTTTTATTTAATTACTACTAAGTAAATGTCCTGTTGAATGTCAATTTGATGGAGATAAATGCTTGAACTGTTTCATTTCTAATAGAGCTGCCTGCGTTACTGTCAATAGATGTGATTGTAGGAGTTACGTGTAAGATCCCTTCTCTAAAGTACTTTTGAAACACTTTAGTAGAACTCTCCTACTGTGATGCTAGCATGTAAACAGATAATTTTGGAGGTAGGACTGTCTGTTACATTACATGCTTCTTTCTTTATACTCACAGATCTCATGCAGTGCTTGGATTTCATGCATTTAAAAATCCATGTTGGGAAGCTGTTTCACTTGTACAGTTCTCTAAAGTGGGTTTCTGGATTTCTGGTGTCATGTTTGCAGGGAAGCTGTCTCTCAGTAACTTGATGGTTCGGAGATTTACATGACTTAGTATGGCCATTTCTGTAGCATACGCCCGTCTCTGATTGGCTTTTAAACCTTACACTCTTAGTGACTACCAGGCTCAATTTTTTATTTGCCGCTCTTAACGAAGGAAGTCCAGCATCTGTCACTTCATTCAGATGAAACGGAAAAATTTCTGTAAGGACAACTGGGAAAACTAGGAAACTGGGAAACAAATCTGTCATCCTTTAAAAGGATTTTTTTTAAAAGTCTCTTCTTTCCCCTTTGCTGTCATGGTGTTTTGGGGAGAAGCACGCTGATGCAACTCATACTTTGAAGAAATCATAGCCGTTCTTTATTGCTTTTATTGGGATGTTGTACTTAAAATTACTAAATCATTCAAGGACTCTGCTTAACTTTTCTCCCTATAGTATTAAGAGGACAGGGTAGGTGGGAGAGCTAAAAAGCCTTTTTTTGTTTTTAACTCTTACTTGAATTGGAAGATTTTTCTATGCCCTCTGTTATGAAATTTGACCTAAGTATTCAAATTTAAAAATAACATGAAAGTCTTTGTGTTAAAGGCAGTACAGTTCAGGGGTTACAGTATCAGATAGGAGTTGTAATTGGTTTCTCTTGCATAGATATTTTATCTTGATCTCTGGCTTTTCTGTGTGAACTTCATCTCTCCCTCTTTGCAATAGAAATGCTATTATTTTATTTTAAAATGCACGGTATAAAGAAGCCTTGGTGTTAGAATGTGATTTATGATTGAAGCCAACTGGATGCTTCACTCTTGCTATGGACTATTAAATTATTTTAATTTCATATTTCATTTTATAATCCATTGGGCCTTGGTTTTAATTCAGTGTAATATTAAATTACTGCTGCAAGTGTAAAGCACCATTCTGTTATTATCATTCTTTAGAGAAATCAGCAAATAACTTATCTCCTGCTGGTATTTTTCTTTCCAAAGGAAACTGGCCAAGGCCCAAAACAATAATTATATTGTTTATTATAAGAACAGTATATACAGTGGATCTTAAACTCTGTGTGCTTGCAGATGTTATCCTGTATGTAAATATTTAGCTCTTTGTTGTATCATGTAACTCATACAATCCTGTTTTTGAAGAGCATTAATCCAACAACAGCTAATACATTTAAGCCTATTAATACACCTAACTGCTTTTTTCTTCCCATTATATTTTCCCAGATGTTGACTTACTTTGCCGCATTTGAGGTATTCTTTGAAGAAAATCTGCCAAAGTTATTTGCTCACTTCAAAAAAAATAACTTAACTCCAGACATCTATCTTATTGATTGGTAAGACATTGAAAGTATAATTAATGTGCACAGTAGACTATAGCTTCATGTCAGTATTCATGACAGAAACTGGAGTGCTTTTACCTGATTTAGCATGCTTTTAAGATAAAGGCTTCATCTTTTGTTCAGTGCTTGAGTTTGTGAATCCAGATCATTCCCACATACTTCTGTGATGTTTAATGTTTGCCTAATCTTTATTGTTGTACTTCTGTTGAGTTTGAAGCTTATTTTTAAATACAGCCGTGTTGCAGTGTTTATCCATATTTAGTCCTTATTTGGGATTAATCTTCTGAGAAAATCTGTTAGTTTTTCTGCTTTATGTGCTGGTGTGTACCGGGTGTCCGGTGTGACAGGATTGCTAGTCTTGCGTTTGAAAGTTACAGTTTGTCCTCTTGCACAGAACAGGAAAGGGGTCATTAAAATATAGCATTTTTGTCCATACAACAAAAAGCTAGAAAATACAAAAGAGCAAACATGTAGACTTTTGGCAGGATGAACTATGGCTCCTGGGCAGTATCTCACCTGTATGTTAGGTGGTCCTTCATCCTACTTCAGGGATCCTAGTACAGGTTATTTAGAAGCTGCTCTTGACAAAGTCCAGTTGAATAGCTGAAGGGTATTAGCATGTTTTTAATTACTGCAGCTATTCCACTTAACAGACAGGCAATTACAAATTTTATTTGGTGAAACTGCCTTCCCTTTTAGTTCTAGTGTAGTTAGAACCTTTTTCCTTCCAGAGGAAAAACAACAAGGATCTTATCTGCCCTCCTGCCAAATTTCAGGGTGGTATAAGGCACTCCAGATTATTTGCATTTGTGCCTGTCAGACTTTGGTTTGAGGCAGCTAAAATGTCTCTTCTCAGCAAGCAAGACTTTGTTTCAGTTTTAGGATGATGTGAAATCCTTTCCGTGAAAAATTGGTTTGCCCTTAAATTGTTGACAGCTTCACTGGTTCTCAGCTATCTGACTAAACACCTTCAGTAAAAGATTAAATTCCCAATAGTAATGGCATTTTTTTCTGAGGTAAATAAGTTACTATTTTGGAAAATGTTTGTACTGTTAATGCAATTCTGCCTGAACCAAGCTTTTAATTCCCTGGTGATCGTTAAGACCTAGTTGTTAGCAGTGAACGTGTTGTTGATCCATTAGACAGAAAGCAATTTAAAGTAATTCAGTCCAATCCAACAGCTCAAAGTTTGAATGCATGAGTTTTCAGAGGATCATGGAATTGCTGGTGCATTGGAAGGGACCTCTGGAGATCATCTAGTCTAAACCCACTGCTCAAAGCAGGGTCAAGTAGAGCAGGTTGCTCAGGACCTTGTCCAGTCGGGTTTTGGATATCTCCAAGGAAGGAGACTCCACAACCTCTCCAGGCAACTCCGTTACAGTGTTCAACCACCCTCACAGTGAACAAGTTTTTTATTTTCTTATGTTTAGATGGAATTTCCAGTATTTCAGTTTGTGCCCGTTGGCTCTTGTCCTTTCACTGGATACAACTGGGAAGAGTCTGGCTCTGTCTTCTTTATGCCCTCCTATCAAGTATTTTTAAACATTTAGGTCCAAGCCATCTGTTCTCCCAGCTAAACATGACCAGCTTTCTCAGCCTCTCCCTGCGTATCAGATGCCCCAAGCCTTTAATCGTATTCACGGCAAGCTGGACTTGCTCCAGTGTATCCATCTCTCTCTTGTTCTGGGAAGCCCAGAGCTGGCTCACCAGTGCTGAGTAGAGAGGAGGGATGACGTGCCTTGACTTACTGGCAGTGCTGTTGCTAATGCAGCCCCGGAGTTTGTGGATGTTCTTTGCTGCAAAGGCACATTGCTGGCTTACATTCAACTTCTTGTCTGCCAGGACCTCCATGTCCTTTTCTGCAAAGCTGCTTTGCAGCCTGTTGGCTTCCCACGTGTATTGGTGCCAGGGCTTACTTCTTCCCCAGGTGCAGGACTTGGCATTTCCCATTGTGGGACTTCATGAGACTCATGTTGGCTCATTTCTCCAGTGTTTCAAGGTCTCTACGGAGCGGTGTATCAACCACACCGCCTAGTTTTGTATCATCTGCAAAACTTGCTGAGGGTACGATCTGACCCATCATCTAGGTCATAAATGATGACATTTAAAAGTATTGGATGTGTATCAAACTCTGCAGTACTCCAGCAGTGGATTGGCTTGAAGCTGTACTTCATGCCACGGATGACAACCTTCTGAGCTTGACAGTTCCAGCCAGTTTTCAGTCCACCTCACTGTCCATTTATCCAGTCCATACTTCATAAATTCATCAACAAGGGTTTTATGGGATGCAGTGTTGAAAACGTTGCTGACATCAAGATAAACGACATTGATTGCTCTCCCCTCATCCACCAAGCCAGTCATCTCATTGTAGAAGGCTGTCAGGTTGGTCAGGCATGATTTTGCTTTCATAAATCCGTACTGACTTTACCCAATCACCTTTTTGCCCATCATATGTTTCAAAATGATCTCCAGGGATTTTTCTTCCATTACCTTCCCAGGGATGGGGGGTGAGGCTGACCAGCCTGTAGTTCCACGGATCCTACTGCTTGAAGATAGGAGTGACATTTGTTTTCTTCTAGTCTTCAGGAACCTTCCCTGATCACTGGGACCTTTCAAAGATAGTTGAGAGTGGCCTCACAATGACAGTGGACAGCTTCCTTAGCACTCACCTATGTATCTCACCAGGTCACATGCACTCATTCGTGCCCAGTTTGTTTAGATGTTCCCTAATGTGATCCTCCTTGCACTAGGCTTTCCCACTGGTCTGGAGGACCTGGGATTCCTGAAGGTAAGTCTTCTCAGTAAGGCCAAGATGAAGAAGGCAGCGAGTACCACAGCCTTCTGCATGTACTTTCTCAGCAGGTTTCCTGCCCCATTCAGCAACAGGCTCATGTGTTCCTGAGTCTTCTTTTCTGCTGATGTACCTGTGGAAAGCCCTTCTCATTTTTCTTAACATCCATTGCTAGATTGGACTCCAGATGGGCTTTGGCTTTCCTGTCTGCTTCCCTGCATGCTCAATGTCTCTGTATTTCTCGAGGGTCAGCTACCCCTCCTTCAGCATCTTATATTCTTCCTTTTTATATTTGAGTTTTGTCAGGAGGTTCTTGTTCATCCATACAGGCCTTTTGCTACCTTTGCTTGAGTTCCTTGATTTTCATATGCCTCTTGCACAGAGGATAGTGTAACATGAGCTTTGTTTGACTTGGCTTTTACACTGGGATTAAATTTTAATGCAACATGAGTAGATGAATGAGGGGATGTGTAATGGATAGGCTAATTTATCCCAATATTTGATGAGATTTTTATGGCTGAGAATATTAAACTGAACTAGGTCTATGCATAGAGCAGGAAGATGCTAGAAAAAATACTGGAAAAGGATAGAAGGGAAGGAAGAGGGCAGAGGCTGGTATGTTCAATGATAAGAGGAAACGTTGAAATTATATCGCCTCAGAGAATGTTGTAAAAAGCCTGTGTGTGGAGGAAGGAATTGAATAAAAGAGATATCAAAATAGGAAGACTGTAAACATGGTGGAGAAAAAATGGATAGACAACATTAAAATCACCACGTTATCATCTTTTTAATGGATTACTAGTTTAATATGATGCTGTCATAAATAAAGTGCTTTTTTTTAATGTATGGGAGACTAAAAATGAGTGTCTTCATGGTGCAGGCATGTTAATGTTCACTCTTATCTAACTTTGAGCTTTTGGTTGTAAAGAAATCCTGAGGAACAGCACCAGAAATTGGAGATTTAGAAGAAAGACTGTTTTGATGAGAGGTTGAAGGTTTACATTGCCGTCAGCAATTTTGCTTTGATAGACTAGTCTTTATTGTATTTTCTTGAGTAAACATTTATGTGATTAGTTGTTCTCTCTGAGCACATTTATACGTTAAATAAAAAAAGAAAGAAAAAATTACTGACGTGAGCAAAGAACTGAAGTGTTGGAAGTCTGAGCGCATGGGGCACATCAGGCCTCCCTTTTGTTCCTTCTGTGGGTATTAAGAGGACATGAAATCAGCAACTTCTGTCATGAGTGCTTGTGGATGGTCCTTGTCAAGGTCTTTGTATGAATGGACTGACAGCCCTTAGCATTTCTTGTTGACTACCTGTATCCATATTAAAGCTGTTTATTTTAATCCCAAGGACAATTTGCTGCATTCCTTCTCATCCCTGGAGAGTCACGACACTATGATCTTGCACAGGAATGCAGGCTAGCTGAGGTGGTCCTGTGCAATCCTGTATTAAACTTCTTTTGCATTTGTCTTGAGCTAGACAGCTTGTCCCACTGTGTCTTTAATTTTGTTAAACAGTGGAGTTGGTATTTAACTGTGTAAGATGTAGGTATAATATTTAAATATACATATGTGTGTGTGCATACATATATATACTTTCTACTTTAAAATACTTTGGTACTGTAGGAAGCAGATTTAGATTTTTTTTTATTTTTCAAATGGCTCTTGGAAACGTAGCAAATTGGACTTTATACATGCTGTCCTTCCACTACTTGCAGGAAATAATGCTGAAAAGATGTAAGAAAAAATGAGGTGGGTCTGTGTTCTCACAAGTGAGTAACTATTAAAGCTAAGGACTTTGGAAAACATTGTTTATGGCTCATGGCTGACAGTGAATTTGCTGTAGCACAGATATCGCTCCATTAGAAACAGGGCTGTTTCCAGAAAGACAAGAATGTGATTTCAGTGTGTTTAAAGTCAGGGAAGAACATGGTACTGTGTCGCTCTGAGTAGTCAGACCTTTTGGTTGTAGGTAAAAATCTCTATGAAACAGCCTTGTTCTAACAACAGTACTTTTATTTAAGTGCATGTTTGTTCTGAGAGCCAAAGGGATGCCAGCCGCTATTCCAGTAGCTGGCATGGTTACTGTGCAGGCATGTGTGCAGTAAATCCCTGTTGCTGCCAGCTCTGGGAGGGCTCCAGTAGCTTGTGCTGCACAGACCCGTTGCTGGGAAAAATTCCTGCTCCCGGGAAAACTTTCCGGCCCCCCCTGCCACAATTACGGTGGAATCAACTAGTCTCCTTTGTGCTGCTTGCTGTAACCAGTGCCGCAGGGAATGGCAGTAAAATTGATATGCTTAGATCATTTGTTGAAGGGATACGTTCCAAGAAAAAGAAGTGCTGTGCATCTGAATGGGCCCAGCTATGCAGGTGGGGCAATGCTGCTTTGGGTTTTCTTGGCACAGGGAGGGGAGCCCCCTAAACTCCAGTTCAGTTCCACCACTGCCTTCTGTGTTTGGAAAATGCTGAGGACTTAAGAATTTAATTAAAAGGTACAGTGGCACGATTATCAGCAGATACTCGCCAGAAGTAAGGCATCTCTTAAAAAGGACCCATGTGCTTCAAGCCCAAACTCCAACTGATAAATCTCACTGTAAGAATTCAAAAGCTAGACAGGTTTTTACTTTTTTTTGAAGAATATAAAGGGAATCAAGTGTGAGAGGGCTGTAAAGAGCAATATGCAGTCAGGTTCACGTCTGAATAGCCCAGTTCTGGCTTCTCGGCGCTGTCAGCTGATGTACCACGGGCTCTTGTGAGCAGAGCAGAATGTGGATTTGCAAAGGACACGCGCTGTTTATTTATGGCCTGCTGCTGCTATGTGAACACCTCTTCATCCCTACTCAGAAAAATTATTTTGGCAATAATTATAGCCAAGGGCTTGATTTGTACTGATGGATTGATCAGTGGTTCTTTAGTATGGCATCGACTGTGCTCTGTGAACACTAACTTTCTATTGGCACCGTTTGCTTGTTATGATAAATGTCCCAGCTCAAGCTGATGCTTTAAATCCATGTCTCCTTTCCAAAGAAAAAATGAACTGCAATTCTGTCCAAAGGTTTCTGGCGACATCCACATTTTTTGAATTGGAGTTGTTAAACAGACTCCAAAACATCCCAGTCTGCAGCCCAGTTCAAGTGTGCTCATCCTTATGTCACTGCAGGTTAGCGTGGAATCAAGTGAAACATTGCATTGCTGAAATGTTAGGGCTTTTTGGGTGCTTCTGACTGGTTGGAAACTGCTCATGAAGTTACACAGTATTTGTATTCTATTGATACATTTTAGAATGCTGTCAGATTTGATGAGTGCTAAGTAGTTGCTCTGTTGCAGTCAGTATAGTATAATACTCAATACTTTTTATTTCCCTCATAAGGGACAAAATGCTTCCACTTTTTTTTTTTCAACTGTAATGATTTTAAAATTGTAGCAAGTAAATTGTTACCAACAGGCTTATTGCAATAACTCTAAAGGTGTTAATGAGAATAGAGATGCCACTATACAATAAAGTAATGCATGAACACTATGAAAGATGCAATCTTTGTCTCAAAGCAGATGTAGTTGAAATTGATGCAAAAGGTAATAACTAAAAATTAGCACAAGGAGCCAGGAGAGAGGATCCAAGAATAAGTTTAAAAGATGAATTAGTTCATCAGTTTCTACAGCTGAAATCAGAAGTTGCAGAAATATTTTTGTGCTGTTACAGACATGGGAAGAGAATGTGTAGTGCAAGAATATGTAAGATCTGATTTGCGTCAGCATTGTTGTGCATGAGTTGTCAATCCAAAATCCAGCATAGCTGTCTTCAGTGCTGTTGCTAATGATAGCTTATGAAGACCTTTTAATTAAAAAAGAAAGAAAAGAGGGGGGGAAAAAAAGGAACAAAAGAAAGAAAACATAGAGCCTGTGATTATCATGGTAACAGTGCTTTCTTGTTAACATTATGGTTGTACGCTTTCCCTGTGAGGAGCAAACCAGCCAGGATTTCATGCATCTACCTCAAAAAGTACACTTTCATCTTAAGCAGGGCTGAGAGGAGCAGGAGCTTCTGGTGCTTCAGGTTTTTTTCCCCTCCTCCAAACAGATAGCGGCCAGTAGCCTACACGTACGTTACGCTGACACTGGATATCTCTGTGCTAGCTGTTTCACCTGGGACTTCTAGTGAGTTGGAAGGGCGCTGCAGGCAGAAAATCATCCCGCAGTACAGCACGAGCAGATCATGTGCAAGTAGCGTGCTGGTGCTGCTGAGAGACACTGCTGTAACTCTTTTTAGTCTAGCAGCTGCGTTATTACGATAATGCATTTCAGCTGGGTTTCAGACTAGTAGCTCAGATGTTTAATAAAAAAAAGTCTTTCAGCAGTAAATGTTTGAAGGCAGCAAATGCTGTATCTGTTCTTAGCAGTAATGATTCCTACTGTTGTTTCATTCCTTATTCTAGGGGGCCCAGTCTTCTCTTTTTACGACTTGATGCATTTAATTCCGTGCTAGTATTAATGAAAGTTAATTGCCTTGTGAATTTCCTGCAAAGTGCATTTCCTTCCAAATTATTAAAAGATCAATGTCAAATACCTTATTTGATGTGACAGCTTTTTTGATGCAAGTCTTTTCCTATGAAAAGTAGTGTTCTAATAAATAGTTCTGACTGTTCCTTCTGACAGTTAATGTTCTGTGTAGTTGCAGATCTAATACACGTGGGTTATTCCAGTTAGCTCTGAATCATGACAGAATGATAGCTTTTGTAAATAAAAGCAGATTAAAAAAAAAAAAAGGCATTGTTACTTATCTTTAACCAGGACAAATTTCTGGCTGAGTGTTTGTGTGCTACTTGGAGACCAGGAAAGGACTTGGTTGGATTGCTTCCTATTACACTGTTCTTTTTAAATGGAAAAGCTGTTGCTGTTTCCTGTGTGTGTGTGTGTATAGACTTAATTCTGCTGTGTAAGTATTCCATAGCAAGACACTTTATATGGCAGGGGGTGCACAAAACTGTTTTTTTTTATATGTCAGTTTCGGCACAAAAATGTTTAAAGAGTGTACAAAGTCTGCAACGCATGATCAGCCAGTGACCCAAACAGGGGGCTCTTACCATGCTGTTCTTGCACATTCGTGTGTGTATGTAACATTAATATATGAACAACAGTGTGTTTTTCATCCAAGACTCTACCTCTTATTTGCTTATTTTTATATTTCTAATTTAGCTTTTTGGAGAGGAAAATCTAAATGATTTCTACTTGTTATAAAAACATTGCAATGAGATGTAAAAATAGAAAAAAGTAAAAACCTAAGGATCCTAAACTTACAATTTACTTCTCACCTGTATTTGTGCAAATGGTTTAGTCTCATCGTGCTGCTTGTAAAATGAATGTATTTTCCCGTTTTCCTAAAGAATGCACAGAGAAGCTGGATACTTGATGACACATCATTCAAATAATCGTGTCTAGTAAAAAGCAGATACTGTAGAAAACCTTTGATTATTAGAGTTTGCTGTGAAAATAAATACATTCATATCCTATACTGATATATGTGTGTGTATGTATATATATCTGTTCCATTTTATTTTTTTAAATGTAACTCCAAATTTCCTAAATAACAAATTGGAGGGGTTGGGAGGAATCTTAAACGCAAGAGAACTACTGTTCGATTCAACATACTTGAAAAGAAATTTTGTGTTAAAAGATGTGAAAAGGTTTATTTAAATCTGAGGCTTTGCTGACCTCTGCTGGAGACAGAATTATTTGCAGTTTAATGGAGATCTTTTACGCAGTGCATCTGTGGAGAAGTGTGCTCTCTCTAAATTCTGGAGGAAAAAAATTACTGTAACTCTTTTCCCTTATGTACTATTACACAATTCCAGGAAATTTCATTCTCTTCACTTGCTGTTATGACGTTAGTGGTAATGAAAACTGCTCTGCTTTGTAGTGAAGTGTTGGATAAGGGAGGGAGTAGGGAGCATCTTAGTGTTCCTGGCTGCAAGGCTATCAGCATTTTGATAAAGGAAGAAATGTGCTCTTGGCAGTTAATGAAAATGCATTTTTTGCAACTGGGAGGAGGTTCTTGCTTCTGCTGTTACCTTCACTCTTTGGAGACAGCATCTGTTCAAACACCCTGAGCCATCATCATATGATCTCTGGACATCTTGCCTGTTTCTCTCAACTCACTAGAGTTTAAGCTGACCTTTCCTCCAAAACTCGTGCTATTATTACTTTGTCGGTCAATCAAGTGTGGAACACAGAGTTAATTTTACCAATCTCCTTCATCCAATGCACAGAATTCCCCTGCACTATGTCTTAAGGTCCTGCTTTTTTGTGTTCTCGCAGTTAAAACTGCATCAATTCTCAACTCTGAAGTAATGATTAAATATGCCTTTGCCATCTGTGGCCAGTGCATGTCCATCATAAAACCTTGTATATTGTTTCCTGTGGTGTGATCTGAGAAAATTGAACTTGGAGATCCAGTCTTATAGCAAGGTGCATTAATGTTTGTACAATTTTATATTGTTTCATGTATTGGTATGCTGCAACTAGTAGAAGTACTTTTGAAATAAAAAAAAAGAAATACTCAGTTATAAATACTTGAGAAGCATCAAACTTTCTGATGATCAGTCTGTGTACTTCTGTGAATATCTAAGACATTTTGATCATCCAATAACTGTGAAAATTTTACTCTGTTTTTCAGGATATTCACATTGTACAGCAAATCTTTGCCACTGGACTTAGCATGTCGTGTCTGGGATGTGTTCTGTCGTGATGGAGAAGAGTTCTTATTCCGTACAGCCCTGGGAATATTAAAACTTTTTGAAGATATTTTGACCAAAATGGACTTCATTCATATAGCCCAGTTTTTAACAAAGCTACCAGAGGACTTGCCTTCAGAAGAATTCTTCACGTCTATTGCTGCCATTCAGATGCAAAGTAGAAACAAAAAGTGGGCTCAGGTAAAGTGGATGTTAATCTTTGATAACAGATGATTGTAGTGTAGCCATGAAAATGGGGTTTTGCAACATCAGGAAGAATGTTTTAGCAAGGCTAGTGTTTGATTTTGCAGGTAGGTAGAAATACGTAGCTCCATGCTTTTAGCATACATTCAGGTACATGGATTTCTTGAGCTCACTCTCCTCTGGAAAAGGAGAGCTCAGTCAACATTCAAAATGGAAATATTGAGTGGAGTTGATGAAGTAAAGTATCATACAGCTCTTAAAATTTATTAATTGCAAAGGCTGCTGGCAACATTACGACTTGATACTTAAAAGCAGAAATTCACTCATTGGGAGAGAATGATAATTTGTCAGGACACATTATCATACAGTCATCATCTTAATATTCTTGAGGATCTATTTTGCCTAATTTTGGGCTGTACAGAAGTGATTGCATCTCTGACCTCTTTATTGGAGTTTAGCACTGAAGCCTTTATTTCAGAAATTGTGTCCCATCACTGCAATTTCAACTAAATTCCAGTTTAAAGAGAAAAGATGGAAGTGTGTTATTTGAATGCAGAAATCCTTACGTGACTGTAACAGCCATTCATGCTGGAGAGTTAGGTCAAATGTACTTTATAGTGTTTGGAGTGGAAATTAGTGGGTTTTGGGTTTTTTCCTTTCTTCAAAGCAGTAATACAGTTGCCTTCATGAGTCGTGCTGTGATAGAGCTCTGCCCATTTTATCCAAATTCTTTTTTGCAGTGAAACTGAAAGGTGATGTTAAACATAGTGGTTACAACAGTTCAGCTGCAAAAGGGAGTTTATGGTTCTTTCCTGGAACAGTAGTCTGCCTGCAGATGCCAGTGACTGCCAGCTTGCTATTTGAGATGAGAATTTCTAACCTTCACAGTAGGAGTAGACTAGCCTTCTGAGCCTTGTTGTGTGTATAAGGGGGAGCGCAACCTGTGCTGCTCTTAGCACTTCCTCCCTGACACAGCTTTCCTCACAGCTTAGTTTGCGTTTCCTTTCTGGTTTTGGTCATAAGTTGCTAGTACAGATCCAGCTTTTTGAGAAGTCTGTCTGCAGTTGGGATGCTTCCTAGCTAGGTAATTTTCTGACTGTGACTGCTATTTACTGTAGCATCCAGGTATTTGAAATACCTTTTCAAATTAGCAACATTAATGTCAAGAGTGATGGATGCACCAATTTTAAGATGAACTCTTAGGTGGACTGACTGACCAGGCGCACTAGTTGCCAGAGAGTGCAGAGTGCTCTTGAGCTTAGAAAAGTCAGCTTTGTGTTTTCATCTCTAGCATCATCTGGTTGGTTACAGTATTTGTACTGCATAAGCAGGCAGCAGAGCTTGAGGAACTACTTCTTTGTAGGAGTATATTTGACTGTAGAACTCAGAAGTCAAATTCAGCTGCACACCTCAGCAGTAGGTGTACTTGGAACTCAGCAAAACACCCACTGAATCTTTCACCTCGCTGTACCGTAGTAATTATGGTCTTGTTATCCTGTGAGTCACATTCTGACCTGATGCTGTTGAGAGATGATGTATGTAGGACCTCATCTAAAATGTCATGGGCTGCTTATGAAGCCGGTTCCCACAGTCCTAGCTCCCTCATCAGATGGGCTGGTGTATGTTTTCCATCTCAGTCCATTTTCCCTTGGTCACTTACAATGTTATCAGGAAACTAAAGACTTAAAGTGAGTTCTGGTAAATCGTGGACATAGCACTTCTGGTAACAAGGACTCTGGTTATCAACAGGAAACCTGCAAGCTCTCTTTTTCTTCTGTAATTGCCTACAAAGAACTCCAGGACCTTGTGCCAATACAGCCTTAGATTGAAATGTCAGTGGCTGTTGTTACACCTGCTGCTTTGTCATCAACAGAGAGGAACAGAGATAGTAGAGCCAACTAGACTCTTGGCTTAGCGTGTCTGTAACCTGTATGGTTCAAATCTGAGCTCCATGAAGTTTTCCATTTGATTGAGTAGTTGATTTACCCTGAATCTCTATGAAGAGGACCTCACTGAAATGTCTCCAATTTTAAAAGCTGCTGAACAGCCAGCCAGCTGTGGCTCTGTTCAGACCCATGTTGAACCCTTACTGCAACAGCTGTGGACGCTTTTGCATTGAAGCACAGACAGTGTTGTGTGGTTGTCCTGGGAGTGATGTCCTGTTAATTCTGATGGTGCAGAAAGAAAAAATAAGGTTGCTTGCTCATAGCTGTAATTCTTTGATTTGAAATGCCTCTCGGTACATTCAGTTCCAGGGTGATTCTTGGGGATGCTGCTGGACTTCTTCAGCAGTGATTAACTATAGGGGAGGGAGCGCATTAAGCAGCATAAAGAACTGGCTATTATTGTGCCCTCTAAATTGTGCATTGGCTATTGGGAAATACAAATTTTCAGTGTGGATACAAATGTGGACTTGTTGCTTCCGAAAAAGATGTAAGCAGATCTAGAGACAGTGACATGCTCTAGGCAAGCACCAGTCAGCGATAAGGTAATTCTGTCCCGAAGTCTTGGATAATGTCGTACTGCTCAGGCTGCTCACGTGGGATGTTTTCAGATAGTCCATTTATCTTGAGAATTGTAACTTCCCCCCAGACAACATCCTTTAATAGTGCTAGACTTATGTAATCTGGGTAGGAATCTCATCTCTGGGCTTCAGAACTATGTGTTTGGGGGAGATTGAGTTTAAACCTCTGTTAAATTGATTTGTATTTATCGTGCCACAGGGACTTATGGGAGAGGTCTCCATCAGTGGAGAGGTTCTCTAAATTTGATTACATTTAATAGTTAAAATAGCGTTGCTCAGAGATAATTAAATTGGAAACTCTTCAGACAGTGATTTATTAAGTCACTTTTTAAATCTAATCCTTTTCTCTTTCTCATTCCTTGAAATGTCTAGATACTGGCTGCTCTGCAGAAAGATAACCGGGAAATGGAAAAAGGAAGTCCTTCTCTCAAACATTAAAATTATGGTTGTCTCCAGTGGCTCACAGGAAAAGAGCTAAAGTGGCAAAAGCATTGAGTACTGTTTGACATGTATGAGCCTGTAAATCAAAGTGTTATTTTGGGGGAAAGGGGGGGAAGGAAGGCAGGAAATCGGGGAACAAAACCTTTATAAATGAAACCTAGGCTTAGCCTTAAACTTTTAGTGGAATGAGCATTTGCTGTGGACAGCGTTACACATTCTGTACTTCTGATGATGGCAGTGAAAGTAAACAATATTAAGGGGATTTTTTTGAAGTTTGTATTTTCTTTGATGGTTTAAGAGACTGGGCACTCAGCAATGCTGGATGCTTTGAAAGCAATTCCCCAGTTTCTTTCTTAGGCAGGATATATTTCCCATACCCATAAAAGTAGCTGGATCTGTATTTTAAATAACTGGTGCTGGAATTTATAGTTAAATGTTGTAAGGACCATTTATTTGGAAATGCTTCTTGTTTTATAGGCTGAGAGTCCCATTTACCAAAGAAATCATGTAGACATAGAACTACATTCCATTCTTTAATAAGAAAAAGTTAAGTAGAAGTAAACTTGGAAGAGAAGTCACATTAGCAGTGCAAAACCAATTATTCTTCAAGATGCCTTGGAAATCTGTGTTTCCAGGCTAGATGCATATGGAAGAAGTTCCATTAATCAGACTAGATTCCAAACTCACATGGGGGTTTCTAGTATTAAGCTGGCATCATTTCCCAGTTGTACTCTTTCCTCTGTTTAAAGCCAGGGTCACATACTATTAAATGTGTGTTTCCACATCTCCCTCTTCTGGGGCAGCACTGTTTCAGGGTGCTCTTGCCTACGAGCTACTTACTCCTGTGCCGTCTCTCCAGTCGTGCTGACAAAACTGTGGGCTGAGCAGATGAACTGAGAAATGGTTAAAAGCAATTTTTATAGTTACTTTAAACCCAGCTCTGCTCACTGGCAAAGCTGAGGAAGAAGGGTGGAGGGAAGAAGTTACATAAGCCAACATTGCTGCTGAAAAGAAAAGGTTCTGTGGGATCTCCTGAAGCTGCTGCTGCCACAGTGGGACAGCATTATGTATGGGAAAGCTGATCTATATGTAGTGACAAGCGAAAGAAGTTTACTGGGGAATGTGCCAGACAAATACTACCAGGACAAGTACAAGCTGTCATTGCCTAGCATTTTATCCAGCCTCTAATACATGGGAGCAAGTTACAGAGATGGCAAACTGCAGTTGCATAATTCTGTTACACAGCTTAGATGCCCTCTGCATTTAGATGAATGTTGAACTGTAAATCATGAGTGCCTCTGATTTACAAGAATGTTTATTGCATAGTGTATAGTGTAAAATCTATTTTATAAATAATGACGATCATTGAAAAGGGAAACTAACTGAAGCAATATTGTGTTTACTGTAAACAGGTGTTGCAAAATCCTCTAGCTGTGTGGTCAGCAGTTTCCCAATGCTCTTCCGTCTGTTTTATGCTGATTATTTTGGCATTGTCTGAATAAAAAAAATGAGAATAATAGTTGCATACTGCTCAACTCAACATGTAATGTAAAGGACTGTGGGACATAATATAAACACTGTCCTTTAGTACAAACATTGTTTCTGCAAGACGTAGCTGGACTGTAATATTAAAAAGAGAGCAAGGTTCCCTGGAAAGTGAGGACTCACAATCACTTTGGAAGATGTGTAATGCAAATGCAGCTTGCAAGTCTGATACCTCATTGGCCTCTTTTCCTGTCCACTTTGTGTGCCTGGCCTAGTGGATGTGGTTTTTTGTTGGCCATCTTAATTCCTCCATAACACAACTTCTAGGTCATCACTTACTGACAACAGACATGAAGATATTGATAGGAGACACGTTAATTCTCCCAGAATTTGTATAGCTTTGGTCCTTCGGTGACCGGTACCTGTATGCTCTGTTGCTTTGAAGTGCAATAGAAAGCTGGAAGGTCAGTAAGTGTTTTTTAGTCTTGCTTTTTCTGTTACTAGAACAACTACGCCTTACCATGAAGGATATGAGAGGCCTGCCATCTGAAACATTCGCACTGTGCTTTTAAATGGCTTGTTAAAGACATAGACACCTCCTTCCTCAGTATACCTTTTTAGGTGGTACTGTAACTGGCTTTGTGATTTAAGTCTTCATTGAAACTAGGTTTGTCTTTTCTTTTAAACCAAGTCTACAAATGTGGGTCATTTGTTGGTTAAAATGCATTCTTTAGCCACTAGGTATCTTTGCAGCCATCGACAGCCCTATTCTCCTTTTGTTCTTCTCGGTAAGATGTTGAATGTAACAGTGAAAATGGGTATAGTTGTGGGAAAAAGGCCTGCTGCAACACTTGTGCACTGTTTGTTATTTGCAAATGTAATTATTTTGTTCTGTGATTTGATCTTTCTGTTCTTCGAAGATGTACATATTTTCTAAATGATTTCTTTGTGTATATAAGGTATGTTCTTTAATGAAGAAAAGCAATGCAATAAGGAGCTTTGCACAGTTTGTTTTCAAACAAAATACATTTGAAAAAAAAAAATCACCTGCCTAGAGATGCAATTGTTTCTGCCTCTCAGTAACTTGATTTGGAGGTGTTCAAACAAAATACATTTGAAAAAAAAAAAATCACCTGCCTAAAGATGCAATTGTTTCTGCTTCTCAGTAACTTGATTTGGAGGTAACTCTTGAATTTTGATAAAAGAGAGATGAGTAGTAAGGACATAGAATTACTTGCCACTGAGCTTTTTAGGTTTCTTGCAGCATACCAAATCTCTTAAATTGCTATTAAGGATGATTTCTGTAATAAATTCAGGGATTGTATTAAAAAAATTTTACAATTTTATTGTTCAGGTGCTTGAGAGTATCTGTAACAAGATGCATGAGATTTTCTTTCATTAAGCAAGTGTCCCCGTCAAGCAAACTTTATTTTCTTCGTGGGTTTTAAAAATGCTGCAATACATCAGAAGTCTGCAACTACCAGTGTACATGCAGCAGATTAGAGAAGCCAGAAAACTTCAACCAGGTTCGGAATTCTGTACAACCTGCACTTTATAAAGCCGTTTTGCAACTTCAATCAGCAATCAATCATTAACGTTATTTCATTTAGTAAAGAATTTCATTTGGAAAAAAGGTACCTTATAACAGCTTATTTTTTAATGTTTTAAAAAATAGAATGACATGTAGAGCATTGTTGATACATCCCCTGTACATCATTGGTTTTATGTAGTTACCAAGTTTGTTTTGTTTAGATACGTGTATCAAACTGGAACTTTTTTCAACTGTAAATATATGGTTTTGTTAAATAAAGTCATGTAAAGTTATCTTAATCACCTGTTGTCAGTGTAATTCAGAAATTAAAAATTCAAAGTACCTGTCTTTCTACACAGGCTTCTTTAGCAGTTTTTGTGCAAAATCAGGACTTTGGAACATTGAGCTATTGCAGGTGGAAGATTTTTTGGTGATGCTTTCTAAGTTCTCATGTTGAAATACCCGTTATGTTACATGTGACACATAGAAGATTTGATACCTCTGGTGCCCATGGTTTAATACATTTCATATGCCTTTCTCTGGACTAGGTCTGGGATCTGATAAATTTATTATGAAAAATAGATGTAAATACATTTTTCTGAGATGCACAGAACTCAGAAATGCTTGAATACCTTTTCCTTTCTTTGTTTTAAAAGAAGTAGTATTGGTTTATTGCAGTTTTCATAATCACAAGGCATTTTGTGCTCAATTTAAGGCAGTATTGTTTTAATTCTTACACAGGCATTAACTTCAGAGATGAAAGTGGAGAAGCTTCCCGTTGCTTACTTAGCTGAAGAGGTTAAAGTACTAAATAAAAGATAGATAAAAGCAGGTGAGAGAAGACAGTACCTGTGCAACAACTGATGAAAAAACAGTTTCATGGAACGCCAGGAGGCTACTCGTGCAATAGCCACTCTTTCAGCCAGAGAAGAGCTTGCCTTTGGTAACGAGGCATAAGATGAAAGGTACTGATCTTAGAGTCTTTCTTTCATTCTAAGTGGTTGGCAGTTACACTTGTGTCCTTTTACTGTCCAGCAACAACGGACAGAGATAGATCTACTGGTATTTTGTGAGAAGGTTTTGAATATTAGTTGTGTAATGTGTCTTCATGAATAGAATGTTTGAGCTGCTGAAGATACAGAGTACCTCAGCTGTTGCCGAGCAAGAGTCTGCACTGGTCTGTGTTCATGCAGTAGTTCTGCAAAACTGCAAGGACCTTACGAGAATGTAACCACATTGCTACTGCATGGTTGCAGAAAGAAATATTGATCTCTCATTTCCCATTGACAAAAGAACAAGTTTGAAACCTTCAGTAGTGTAATAACCACTTCAGTTATGTTTTGTCTTTTGAATACCCAGGCCATTCAGAAACCTAGTTCAGAGATGATTTAAATGAGAAAAGTATAAGCCATTTCCTTTGTAGGTTTATCTCCCTTTTGGCCCCATACAACTGCTTCCAGTGACTTGTGTACTTTGTTTAAATACATGTGCAACTTATTTTGGAACTAGAACCAGCAGCTTAGCAATACTGGTCCCATGGGGTGTAGTTCCAACCTGTGGTGGAAAACCAAAAGACCCCTTTGTTCCTCACTTTACCACTGGGATGTGGCTTCTTTCTGCAAAAATCACAGCCATTGAACACTTAAATCTGGGCCTTTAATACCCAATTCCTGACTACTAAAAATGGGACTAAAGATTGTTGGTCTGTCTAGGCAAAGTAGTGGGATCACATGTAGAAATTAACAATTACCTTGGGTATGAGTGATTCAATAACTGGACCCATCAGCTAGTGATGGCCTGTAAGGAGCCTGCGAAGGTTGCGATTCCTTCAGTAATGAGAACATACTGTATCAGAGCTTCAGCATTTTACTGGTCTAAAATGTTTCTGTATTCTTGGCATCCATCCCATGCCTTAAACCAAAAATAATGCTACAAGAGCTGCAGGATATAGATCAGTCTCATAGTTTCTGTTTCCCATAGGGGGTTTGGACTTCAAAGAACTTACTGTTTTGAAAGGGGAAGCTGCTTCCTGTAACTAAAGCTATGTGAGCAGTACAGTCATAAATGTTTGTTGCTCCCTC